GCTATCTTGCCGCAGACTCCTCCCGTGACTATTCACAAGGCCCCCAGGGCATTTACGGCAAACCGAACACACATCGGGGAACAGGGAGGAGAGGCAGACCCGCTCCCTCCTACACAGCTTTGTCTTCTGAGTCTCCACGTGTTTACACGCTATGACCAACAAGGAATTTGTAAGATATTCCAAGAAGCCGTGTGATACTTCAGTGAATGCGTCTTTTCAGTTTCTCTCTAGTTGAACTTAAAAAACGCTCCTTAGCCGGGCTCCGGTGGCTCAGCCTGTAATCCCGCGCCTTTGGGAGGCTGAGGTGAGTGGATTGCCTGAGCCTGCGGGTTCGAGACCCGCCTGGGCAGCGAGACCTCATCTTTACAATAAATCAAAAAATCAGCCGGGTGTGGTAGCGCACGCCTGTAGTTCCAGTTACTTGGAAGGCTGAGGCGGAAGGATCACCGGAGCCCATCAGGCTGAGGCTGCGGTGGCCGGGAGCGGCCACTGCACTCCAGTCTGGGCGACAGAGTGAGACTCCAACTCACAAAAAAAAAAAAAAAAAAAAAAAACGCTCCTTAATAAAAACAAACTGACAAGCGTCATGTTGTTCTCATGTCCAACACACAGAAGAGAATTGAAATGTTATGAAATATGCCAGGCAGTTTTTACTAATCCCGTAACCTCTAAAGAAAGGGCTTGCAATGAGTACTGCATTAGAATTGCCATAGCTAAGCAATTTTTTTTAACACTAGAAGGACTAATTCTACGCTACACGTACACTCCGAAAATGCTGTCAGTGTAACGCAAATCAATTAAAACTGCAATTGAGGTGGCACATAGTAAGCGAAAAAGGTTGAACGGTCTGTCTGGTCACAGAACGAATAACCACTTTTACGCAGAATGCAGCGAAACAAAGGTGCCTCTCTCAGGAGTCAGAGTGCACTTGTGGCCAGCACTATTTTGCCAAGGCCATCTACAGCTGTACCTGGTTATAGGAGCATTAGCTAAGCGAGACCATACAGAACAGCTGCATTTGACATCACTAGGACGCTGCACATTTTCTCCCTGTGGCAGCCAATCAGAAATCTTGCTGACAGGCAGACTTCCACAGAACGAATGATCCTATTGAGATCAATTCCTCTTAATGCCTTGCACAGGCCTACTTTCCTGGCATATCATGGAGACAGCAGGCCCATTCCGTTCAAAACCCAGAGATAGAACATTCAAGCTTGATTAGTTGATAAAATGTATGACTGCACTGCTGGAGAACGTGCAGTGCTCAGTCTCGGCAGAATGAGGCCGAGGGGCTCCAGCCCAGCTCAGAGTTCAGCCACGGGGCACCCTGGAAAATAAGCACCAGCCAGGGAGCGACTGGAGGCCGAGCGTGAACTGTGGCGCTCTCACACCCACCTCAAGTGTCCCTCGCCACCAGGCAGCAGGCTGTCCCCACACCTTTGGCCACGAGACCCTGAAATGCCCTCCCAGTCCTTGGCGCCAGGCTTCTGCCCATCGATTGTTGACCAGCACTCTGCAGGAGACCAAGGTGTCCTCGCGGGGTGGGCTCCCTCGCTCTCCGGCCCATGCCCCTGGGACGAAGAGAGCATGTCTGGGCTCGCCCGCTGGGTCCACCAGGAGGCAGGAGACACTCAGGGCAGACGTGCGAGCTGGCCCAGCGAAGGTCAGCAGAGCTGCCCGGACAAGCCCTGCCTGGATCAGCCAACCAGCAGACCTGAGGGCAAAACCTACGCTTCCTGCTGCAGGGCGCCGAGAGTTTGCAGTTTGCTACGCAGCAGAGTCGTGGCCCTAGCTAACTGAGACAGTCATCAAGCGTGGGTCATTCCTTTCCTGCCTGTCCTCCATGCCTCCCTGAGACAATGGAGGAGGGACCGAGGACCTCTGGATGCCTTCTAAAGCCAACTAGGGACCAGGGAACCGGGGAGGAAAAGGATCCAGACTCAGGGGTCTGAGATGTAGTCAGGGCCTAGAAGCAGGTGTTGAGAAAAACACTTTGGCAGGCACTGAAGCGGGCAGGCGGATGGGGCTTTGCCTCCAATGACGGGCCCCCAGTGATGTTAAAAAATCAAAAAAAAAAGTAGGCCAGGAGCGGTGGCTCAAGCCTGTAATCCCAGTACTTTGAGAGGCTGCGGTGAGAGAATTGCCTGAGCTCAGGATATCGGGACCAGCTGGGCAAGTTCATGAGACCTCTTCTCTACGATAGATCAAAAAATTAGCCATGTGCCTGTAGTTCTGGCTACTTGGAAGACTAAGGCGGAAGGATAGCCTGAGCCCAGCAGGTTGAGGTTGTGTTGGCCACGAGTGTGCTGCTGCCCGCCAGCCTGGGCGACAGAGTGAGATCCTGACTCAAAAAAAAACAGCGAGAGGAGGAGGGTCTGAAAGTCCCAGGCTGCAGTGTGTCCTAACAGCCAGATCCCCTGCAAAACTTGTTTTTCTGTTGGTTTAAACACGGGCAAGTAAACACGTCAGAGGCAGGACTGGAGAAAACGGAAATCTTTATTTTTAAACACCAGTACATTTTCAGGCTGTTTTAAAAAGGAAAAATCATGTTACATTAGTTCGAAACTATGCATCAAAGCATATTTATTTAAAGTCTAATTTTACAAACACATAATGAAAGAAACATATATTTTATAAATATCTACCCAGAATGTGTATTTTGAAAAAAATGTTATTTAAAAATAACAGCCCCAGATCCCACTCTTTAAATATATAAAATTCCCTTACAATTCATAAGAATTCCTTCCTCGGGAGCCAACACATTCATTTCACAAAGGCCAACGACCCAGCTCTCATCAGACACAATCGACAGCAACAGGAATATTTAAAAAGTAAGAGCTCTGTACAGGGGAAATACAGAGAGCACATGGGTAAGTCCCATTACCATGCATGCCACTTGTGTTTTAAAAATGCTTTATAAAAACTGCCATTTAGAGCAAAGAAGCGAGAGTCCTTCCCTGACTGTGGAAAAGGTAGAGATCACCCGGGCCGAGGTTCCGTCCGCCAGAGGCGGGGGAGGGGCTTCCCGTGTGTCCTGATGCTGGCCTGAGCCACACACGGGCCCGCCTCCTCTCTGGCAGGGGCTTTGTCTCCTCCGCGACGCTGGGATTTCCTTTCACTTAGAAAAATTCTTTGGGATCATAGAAGACAGTTGCTCACAAGTGAAAGCCAGCCTAGGGATGACTTCAGATGGCTGCATCCAGTCGGTAATCTTGTCTCTCAGGTGACCCCGCTTTGGAAGCCTGAGGCCCCTCTGCCAGGGGAACACACACACAGCCCCAAGGCTGTCCGACCCTTCCCCTTCGCTCCTCTGCCGGCAGCGGCGTGCACAGACTACTGTCTCTTCTGGCACTTCTTCTGGAAGGAGCTCTTCAAAAACGTGCGGTACACAGGGTCGTCCACATACTCGTTCTTGAACCTGGAGCTCAGCACTCTCTGCCGCTTCCTCTCCCCCTGGATGATGTCTGCGCCATAGAACGTGTCCTCGAACCGCATGTCGGAAGCTGTGGACTAAACGCACTGGCGTTACCCGGCAGAAGGGCCCAGCACGTGGCCTTCACCAGCCTGGACGACCTTCCGACTCCGCCAGCCGGCGAGGGCGCAGCGGCGGGGGTCACCGGCTCAGGGCGGCAAGACCGGCCACGGCTTTGGGCTCCCCGTCGCCCCTCACCACCTTCAGCCCAGCGAGGAGGGGGCTCCGTGCTCAGCCCCACGCGCTTCAGGGTCCCCCCCCGGCTCCCAGGGGCGTCTCCACAGCTTCGCGGTTCCAGCCTCCCTCGCCCTCCATCTCCGCTCTGGCTGCCGCCCAACCGGGTTTTTGACACGTTTGTCAACCATCATCTCCACGTAATCTTTATTCCTATTTACCTTTGGGCCTCTGCCCTTATGCCACCCCTGAATGATCCTTGCAAAGTCCTGGGTGCTAATTCCTGCATTGCTGCTCTATCCTCAACAGATCTGAGGGTTCCGCCACCCGAGCTCTCCCCTCGCCTCCTGCTTGTCCTTCTCCCCTGCCTTTGGCTGCTCACTTTTGAAGCCTCGGGGGTTCCCTTCGGAACCATCTGCTCAGCTCTGATGCCCCTAGGGGCTGGCTTTCCCCTCCAGGGTGCCAGGTGTTCCTTGGGCCTTCACGCCCGGGCTGGTGGCGTCAACGTCTGCATCTGCTCAAGGACGCTCCCATCCCGGCTCCAGCTCAGATCCCCTGTGCTCAGGCCGGTGTGCCCACCTCGCCGGCAGGCCTCTCACAGGCACCTCAAACCCACCATCTGAAAGGGAGCCCAAAGCCTTCCTTCTCCATCCCCCTCCTTTCTCTGTGTCCCCAACGGCACCACCATTCCCGTGCATCCAGTCACACTGGCCAGGAAACCTGAAAGTCACGGCAGACTTCCCCTTGTCCCCAGCCCGGCCACCATCCCTCCCGCCGGTACCCGAAGCCCTCCACCCTTTCCTTCCCCTTCTCACTGTTCCCCTGTGTGAGGCAGGCCCTCACACTTCCTCTCTAAACCACTGCAATCGATGCTGCACCCCGACCTGCTTTCCACAGCGCCACTGGAAGGAAGCGCTCTGAAAGTTCTCCTGCTCCATGACCCTCTGTGATGATGTGCCCTTGCTCATGATGTTCCGATGATCCCACTGCCTACGAGAAGGCAGCCGCACTCCCTGAGCCCGGCCCGAGTAACCCGGCACAGCCCTGCCCCGGCTCCAGTCGGACTCCGTGACTGGCAGGTCTAGCCCCATTTGGCCAGCTCGGGGCCTCATCCTTCTGTCTTGGGACACACTGTCTGCTTTCCACGAACATTATTCCAGCTTCGCTGCACAGCCAACGGAGGGCCCTTCTTTGGGTCCCCAGAACCCTCCAGACATCGACACAGCAGGAGGAGGGCAGTGCAGAGATAAGGGCAGGCCAGGCTCTCCCCACCAGGGGAATCCCATGCGGACAAGGCTGTTAGGGGCTGTCTACCCAACGGTGCATGTGTGCCCAACAGCAAACCACAGGCCCGGCACTCGGCAGTGTTTGCAGAAAAACCTAAAGTCTACAGGAAAGCGCTCTCTTTGCTTCCCAGGCCCCTGCCCTCCTGTCCTCTAAGACACATTCCCCACGGCTTTCCCCTGAGGTGGTCCGCTTCTGGTGACGCCACTGCGGGGCGCATCTCACTGTGCCGATTCTACCTCGCCAGGCCAGTGGCAGGCAGAGTCCAGCGCTGAGGACTTGAAGACACAAGGCCCACTGGGAAGGAGAAAAACACGGGCATGGCTACCACAAGCCCTGAAAATGAAAACCAGGTCCGAGTGCTCAGCGGTGAGACGGTTCCCCAGGCAACAGGCCACCCTGGACACTCCCTAGTTTCACTAAATGAAGACAACGGGACAGACAGTCTGTGGGCTGGGGGGCACCCTTGGCCACGAGGAGAAAACACCGTTGCTTCATCTGTTCTTGGCAAAATACTTCCTCCGAGTAATCTTTCACTTTCATAAGCGCTCACAGGTTAACAAAGGAGAAAATAAAGCATCTCGGAAAGTGTGGCCACCGTGAGAGAGAGGCAAAGTCGGCCTTTCAAACACAATAATAAAACCGAATTACCAAGAGCTCCAGCTAATTATGCACCGTTGCTATGGTGATTCTGGGAGACAATAAAAGGCAACAGGGCCGTTTCTGAAGTGTGTGGAAGGGAGTCCAGCACAATCGCTGGGGTGGACTGCGACTCTTTGAAAGATGTCTCCCGCGTCGGCGGGGGCCTGGGCGAGCCGCAGTCATTAAAACACAAGGTCTCCCGAAAAGGGCTGCTAACCTACCTCCTTGGAAAACAAAAAGAGACTTCTCTAACCATAAAATAGCTTACATCAATGAGTTTTCCAATTAGATTTGTTTCACCAACTGGAAAAAAAAGCAGCAGTCATGGATAGACTAACCAAGGGCCAGAAGGTTGTACACCAACCCCAGGGAGAAGCAGGCAGGCCATGGCAGGATTCGACAGGAATGGAGGTGGCAAGCTGGAAGTAGTGACTGTGAGCCTTTGTCCTTGAACCCGTTCCCTGCTAGGCTCAGCCACTTGGCATTACAGGCTGCATTCAGAGTATATGTGTGTGACGTATACATTTTCAATGTTTTAAGTAAAAAAAGTTTCTCAGCTGGGCCCAGTGACTTGTGCCTGTAATCCCAACACTTTGGGAGGACAAGGAGAGAGGATTGCCTGAGTCCAGGGGTTCAAGACCAGCCTGGGCAACCTGGCGAGACCTCATTTCTACAATAAATTAAAAAAAAAAAAAAAAAAGAGGCAGGCATGGTGGTGCGCACCGGTAGCTCCAGTTACTTGGAAGGCTGAAGTGGAAGGATCACCTAAGCCCAGCTCAGTCAAAGCTGTGGTGGCCATGAGCGTGACACCGCACTCCAGTCTGGACAATGGAGTGAGACTCCAACTCAAAAACAAACAAAAATTTTCTCCAAGAATAAAAAAAGAGGTTTGAATGTTGGTGTGCTTCTCCAAGGTCACGGACCAAGGTCACAACCCAGGCACTGTGTCCAGAAAAAGCCGCAAGGGCAGGCATTCTGGTGTCTGAGCCAAGTCTACTGTGGAACAAAGAGACTGTGATCCCAGGAGAAGGCTTTCTTCTAACACGATTCAAAAACAGTATTTGAAATCTACAAACTGAGCTGGTAGGATGCTTAGCCATACCTGGATCAGAAAACGAAAGCCCTAAGAGGCTTCCCCATCCTCTAACTCTCTAAGGGATAAAAAAGCAAAAGAAAGGCAATGGAGGAGAGGGCAGGGAAGCAGGAGAGGAAGAGGAGAGTCCATGGAAGGCAGGGATAGAGAACAAGAGGCAGCCGTCTCGGACATCTTGGAAAGGTTTTCTCAAGAGATTTCAAGGACTCCGCACACTGACAGGTGATCCAGGTTCATGAAGGTCTCTATCTCGGCCTCTGTTAAGATCTAGCTGATGTCTTTACAAGAGGAATGTTCAATTTTCTCTTTCCTTGCAGCTAGTATCTGGTGCTTAGTCTATTTACAGGGGCGTGGGTCCCCCGAGCCCCATTTCTCGAGTGGGCAGCAATCCTGTCACTATGCCTCTCCTCCTGCTTTTCCTCCATGAAGGACCTTCTCCTTTAGGAGGTGGCTGAGGCGAGAGAGGGGTCCTGCCTGCCGGGAAGAGGCTGAATATGCAACCGAACGTGCAGGGAAGCCCTTGGCCTTTCGACAGTCGCCAGATAGCACCATATCTGAGCATGCACTGAAAACAAAGTGTGGTGTCTATCCAGAAAAATTCCAATTTAGTCAGAAAAATCCCAGCCACCAAATTTCTCTGTGTAGGATGTATCACCTCACAGATGCAGCAGAGGTGATTCTAAGTGAAGAGGAACACTGACTTTGTTTCAGGGTCCACTACATATTTTATGATAGGGTAATATGAAACCTAAATAATAGTGCGTTCTATTATTCAACACTTCAGTTTTGATTATTCGTCGGCGTTTATTTATCTTTTAATGGTATGTAAAGGTATGAAACTAATATTTTCCATATGTAGAAAGCTGCCTTGGAATTCCCACAAGTAGTATTTAAGCTTAGTTCATCCCTTTTGTCATGCAAGTGAGAGCTTAGTTTAATCATAAACTGACTAGGCATTAGTGATCTTCTGAGAGACAAGGTGGTCCATACAGGCTAAGGCTACAGGAGGCCAGGCAGTCACTGATGCCAAGTTCCCTTTAAGTACTACTGGATGCTTTCTTTTAATGTCGCTCCCACTAACAAGATCGCAAATGCTTTGATGGTAGCTGTATACGGTCCTGGTGCTTTATACAGAGCGCATATTCAATAACTATGTTTTTGCAATGATAAATGTTAACACAAAGAAGCATCATTTAACTTCAGTAAAAGAATGTGCACTTGTTTCCCTGAGTTTTTTTCTGGGGGGGGGCACATTTTTAATTTGCATTTGATAGGTTTCAGTAAGAGAAAAGTAGCGTTGGCTTCTTAAAAAATTAATCCCAGGGCCCAAATATGTTTTCTGCCAGGCTTGGGAACTTTGAGGAGAGATTGGGGAATTCACTTGGCGGGTCCCCGAGTGGCATTTGACACACTTACAAAACGAGCTTTCACTCTCTTGGGTAACTCTTCATCTAAGGTGTAGATATCTTCTCTCTTCATTGCTATTTGGGATCCATCTTCAAATTCAACCTAATGAAAAATAAGATATCATGATATGTATGAAAAAATAACACTGAGCATTTTTAAAGGGTTCACTTAACTACAGTACAGGCGCAGTGGCTCATGCCTGTAATCCCAGGCACTTTGGGGGGCCGAGGCGAGAGGATTGCTTGAGCCCAGAAATTCAAGACCAGCCTAGGCAACATAGCAAGTCTCTGTCTCTACAAAGAATAGAAAAATTAGTTGGGTGTGGTGACATGCATCTGTAGTCCCAGCTACTCAGAAGCCCAAGGTGGAAGGATTGCCTGAGCCCCAGAGATCAAGGCTGCAGGGAACCATGATTGTGCCACTGTACTACAGCCTAGGTGACAGAATGAAACCTTGACTTAAAAAACAAACAAACAATAAAATAAAAAAGATTAAAAGGACTTGAGCAGAACAAACAAGGGAATTAAGAACAAAATGCATTTTAAAACAGGCCAAAACTTTTGAAAATGAGTATCTTGGAATATGGAATATGAAAACTTTATCCAACTGAGCAAAAAACAAAGAAAAGTAGCTGCTGATCAAATGATTTCACAGAACATGAGATTGTAGCAAATTTATTATTAAGATGGGTTCAGTCTGTTATCACCAATTGTTTCTTTAAAAGGCTCTGATAACATAACAAAAGAGGTAAAAGATGATATAGTTAATCTTGCATAATAATCCTCCCAGATAAAATAATTTCTTAAGTTCTCATAGAGTTTTAACTTTCAAAACTTACTTTTGCCAAATTCAGTCAAACGGGCCAGGAAAGTCCAAGTTTCTCAATTTCTTAACATGTAAACCTCATCAATGTGTAAAAATACATTATCATCTAAAACAAAAACGTTTAAAGCTTTTCTCAGCTGGGTGTGGTGGCTCTCACCTTAATGCCAGCACTTTGGGAGGCTGAGGTGAGAGGACTGCCTGAGCCCGGGGGCTCAACATAAGCCTGGGTAACATGGTGAGACCTCATCACTACAATAAATCAAAAATTTAACCAGGTGTGGTGGCTCCAGCCGCGGTATAGAGTGAGACTCCAACTCAAAAATGAAATAAAACAAAACTTTTGTCATGCTAACCAAATGGCAGCAAATAATTTCATAACCCATTTTTTCAACACTTTAGGGGATGTTGTCAGAGAATAGGTAATGACACTGGCTAACAGAAACCTAGAGCCTCTGGGTTTAGGTTTAATCCAACATGAACTCTTCTAGGAGAAAACAAAAGGATGCAATCCGGTAGAATACCTAATATGTTCTGATTCTGAACCACACGATTTTCTTGAAATTCCTAAATGTTCTGTTTGTCTGGATTCTTTACTTTTAAGAAATTAAACTCCTTGTATTTCTAGTCAAAAGGTACGTTAAAACAGACAGCTGTGCTATATAAAAAATTTTTTTACTCTGTTGGGATTTGGAAAAAAAATTGCATCTAGTGTTTAATTAACAGAGTGTCTAACAGGTAGCTGTCCTTTTCATTAAACAAGCTTGGTGGCTAATAGCAACCACTGGCCACACCGGTGCCAATGCACCACTGGTCTAGATATGGAGGGATGTCTCTCAGGCAAAAGCCACCAATTCAGGTGCCAGTGGACGGGGAACAGCCTTCACTGTCTTCAGAAAGATAAAATCTATCATTGAACTTCTTATTATTCATGTACTGCTAAGATTTGCCTAGGCCACACAACGCTGTTAAATTAGATCTCAGTCCCAGGAAAACTCTTGCTGTCACTTCCCAGAAAGTCAAAGATGAGAAGGGCTTCTTCCCAGCCTTATTTAAACAGAAGGATTTTTAAATATTTAGTTAGGCCAAGGCGTCACCCTATGCATACAGTTGGACAGCACAGCTAGAACCACCGTGCCTACTTTTTCTTTGCAAGCGGTTGGAGTCCAAAAGAGAAAAAGGCAATCACAAGACTAGACGGGAGTGCGTACGCTAGGACTAAGAGGACCGGCTGTCCTGGTTCACCCGAGGACTCGGGCGTCTCCCAGAACACAGGACTTTCAGTACTGAAATCAGGGCTGGTCCCAGCAGGTGGGGACGGTTGCTCATCCTGGCTCACACAGAGTTGAGAGTAAATGCTGACCCTTCTCTTTACCAGCTGTGTATGCCTAAACAAATGATCAAAGAACTGTTTTAACTAAAATTGGTTGGTGAGTCTTTCCCCCCCCATTTGTAAAATAGGTGTCAATGACAATTATTTTGCTGGACTATTGTGAGGGTAAAAAAAAAATCTATACTTAGGCTATTTAGCACTATGCATGAGACATTTAAGTTATATCTATTTTTATGACTGTCTTTGTTTATTCAATGATGAAGTTGAATAATTAGATGCAAAACACAAAATGATCTCTAAAGGCCACTTGGTTTAATGAGGAATTTCAAACTACTTGCGCTTGAGAGACAATTTTAATATTAGTCCTAACTTTTTCATTGAGTCTATAAATATGCCCACCGTTTTAAGTTGACAGGCCATTATAAATTCAACTGAAGTTAACACACTGATTACTAATTAGCCTGAATTTCCACATGTCCTCATTATATGATACTTTTCATATAACAAACAGCTTTGCTACATGTAGGACACTTCACTTTTGCGCTTATTATTTAATGAGACATAATTATTTTCTGTTGAATGAGGTAGTGATGCTTCTTTCTCAGGACTCTCCAGTATTAATAGGCTGACTGGTGACTTTTGCCTGGTTCTGGGCATTCTGATGCAAAGACACTCCAGCTCCCACCCTATTCTCACTAACCTGAGTCTTCGACTCAATACGATCACCAATACCAGATGGAAAGGGGAAAAAATGACCGCACACACCATACACACACACAATGTATATACCCTCCCCTCCCCACTCTCCTTTTCTAGACTACAAAGAATGTGCTCTCCTAAGCTCTTCCAACTTCGGACACCTGGAATTACACTGAGCTCCAGTCCCTGATGCAGGGTCTTATACTACTCTCTTCCTTTTTTTTTTTTTTTTTTT